GAGAGAGAGAGAGAGAGAGAGAGAGAGAGAGAGAGAGAGAGAGAGAGAGAGAGAGAGAGAGAGAGAGAGGGGGGGGGAGAGATGACAACTGCATGAGGGACATAAGAGGAAAGCAACCTTTGTTCGTCTTTTTCACGGAATTTCTTTCACTGCTGTGTTCTCCTTTCTATGGCACTGTGCACCTTACTTTTTCTTTTCCATCCCCCTGGCATGCATGTTGTGGTTCAATTCATTTTTCTCTTAACACAATTCAGTGAAATAAAAACCAGAGTACTAGTCTTAATTGTTTTCAAATTTCAAAACAGTTTTCTTGTTTCTTTTTTTTTTTTTTTTGGTTGATAATCCTTGCCTTTTCTTGTTGTCCATCCTTGTTGCAGGACAGCATTATTGATACGCTGTTTTCACAAGCACTTGTGAAGGTGAGCACTGCTTCCATTCTCTACTATCTGCTCCCGCTGTGAAACTCTTCCTTTGTTAAACCACGAGTACCCCTGGCCTGGCGGCGCTGCACTGCGCACCAAGCTTTGCCGAAAGCGAGCAGCACTTTCTTTTCCTCCTTTTTCGACTGGCACCGCCAGCCATTGTGGTACGGTAGCCCCAAGCCTCTGCAATTCTAGGAGTAGGTGATGAGGAAATCTTGCAAGGCTGTGTGTTGGCGGTTTTGAACTCTTCTTGGTGTTTCATGTCTAAGGAAAGAAGAACCAATTCCTCATTAACGGTGTTGTGAGAGCTCGTTGGAATCACTTTCTTGTCATTGTTTGTTGTATTGTTTCAATTTATTTGTTCTTTGTTAACAAATTCTTGTTGTTCTATGCCCTTAAATCCTACACCCTACACCCTACACCCTACACCCTACACCGTAAACCCTAAGCTTGCAAGTTGGGGCTTATAACATTCCAAAGTTCACAGATTCAAGCCTCGCAATTCACCACTTGGAAGACTGATCGACCCTGAGTTTGGCGTGTCAGTGTTACGAAGTTTTTGCAAGTTTTGGTACGTACAAAGTTTTCACATCTATGAAGTACTAGTACTACTGTCTGCTAGATACATCTATGAAGTACTAGTACTATAATAGTTTTCACATCTATGAAGCACTTCTTGCTGCTAGATACATCTATGAAGTACTAGTACTACTGTCTTCGCCCGAATAGAACGTACCATAATTTTCACTGCATCTGCAGTGAAAGTGGGCCAACTGCGGATATAATGACCATGCGTTCTATTCAGGGGAAGTCGATGGTGTGAGTACTCACTTAGATTGGCTTCAAGAAGTAGATGCATCCAGCAAGGACATACTGAAGTAGATGCATCCAGCAAGGACATACTGAAGTAGATGCATCCAGCAAGGACATACTGAAGTAGATGCATCCAGCAAGGACATACTAACATTCGCCATGAAAACGTCTGACCTGAGTTAGGAAACTGGCATGGTTCATCCAATCAGCGTGCTTGATAGAGATGGGGAGGGTTTGATAGAATATGTGAAGGATGGATGTGCAGGTGGATGTTTCTGATCGTGCGTGGATTTGATCTCTGTGCCAATGTAATTGTATGTGGATGGATTTTGATTGGTATATGAATATGTGGTAGATGTATGTATTGATCATGGCTATGCCAGACCCAGACACTGGACCAATCCGGACATCCGGCCGGACCTCTGTCTGGGTGATACATGCTCAATCGAGCGATGTATATGGAGCCAAGGATCCACAAAGTGATGAAAAGGACTCAAATGGACAATGCAGCGTCAGCAAAGCATCAACAAGCAATGGACATCCAGATACATACAAAAATAGCACAATGTAGCACAGCGGAAGACTGAAAGATATGACCTGACCTGTCAGATACTGACGCAACTCAACCATCACACATCACACATGTGAGAGGGGAGGAGGGACCACACACATGGAAGAAAAGGTCCCTCCTTGCACGCACACATGAGGAGATAGCAAGGATTATGTGAGGGAGGGGGGGCGAGACGAAGATGGAGATGAGGGAGAAGGCCAAGATCGCGATAGCGAAGTCCAAGAATAGTCTCCCTGCAGAATGTCCAATCAATGTCTGCCACAAAAAAATGTCGAATCAGATCGTGGGCCTCATAGCCCGATGTAACCTTGTCATGTAACCTCTCTCTCTCTCTCTCTCTCTCTCTCTCTCTCTCTCTCTCTCTCTCTCTGAGATAAGAATAAGAAGAAGAAGGAGGAGGAAGAGGAAGAAGAGATGGAGGGCGAGAAGAAGAAGAAGAAGATGTCATCCTCCGCGATTTTGTCGGATAACGGACTAATGCCCTCCGCCCGAGTTGGAAGTTGGCTTTGTACTTGGCATGATGGAGCGTCTCCAACACATGTCGAAGATGCTCGAGATGATCCTCCAAGGTCCGGCTATAGGTGAGAATGTCGTCCAAGTAGACCAGCACAAAGCGGTCCAACATCGCGTGGAACTCGTTGGTCATTGTCGCTTGAAAAGTCGCTGGGGCATTGGTGAAGCCAAAAGGCATGACAACCTACTCAAAGTGCATGTACCGAGTCTTAAACACGGATTTGTAGCGATCTTACGGGCGCATCGAGATTTAATGATACCCCGACTTCAAGTCCAATTTGGAGGAATACTTTGCGACACCCAAACGCTTAAGAAGATTGTCGATACGAGGAAGAGGCCTCGCATTCTGGATGGTTTGCGCGTTGAGCTTGTGATAGTCAATGCACAAGTGAAGGTCCTTGTTCTTCTTCCATACGAAGAGAACCAGCGCACCATATGCTGAGCTACTAGGGCGGATCCAACCCTTGTCCAACAAGTCGTCGATTTGAGCGCGGAGAACTGCAAGTTTTTCCTTGCTCATGCGATAGATGCTTCCTTTCAGCGGCACGGCACCAGCCTCTACGATGATCTCATGGGAGATCGGTCGATCCGGCACCACATCGGTAGGAGACTCGAAGACGTCGGCGAACTCGTCAAGCAACCGCACCACGCGGGGGTCCGAAGACAAGTCTGTAGGTGAAGATTCGGCCTCCGCGATGGTCCGAAGAAACCAAAGGCTGATCTTGTCGGTCCGCTTGTAAGCACAAGTGGCCCGAAAAGACTCGGCCGTCACAACTTGGCACCCGATCGAAGGGTGCAGAGAAGGAATGGTACACGGGACTTCGGCGCCGAAAGCGTTGGGAACGATAAGTGTTCGACAATGGAAGTTGACCGTGTGGTCCGCACTCGCGAGTGAAGGCATCCCCAAGATGATGTCAAAGTCTGTGTCCAACACGTCAAACGTGACCGTCTCGCATTCATGTGGTGCGAAATAAACCAACACAACCTCGATATAGCGATCCAGAAGTTGTTGCGTCCGACCATCCGCCATCTTGACCGCCATAGGATTTTTCCTTCCTTCGAACTTGTGCGCCAAGGCCGGCCAGTTGTATAAAGGACTGGCTCATGAAATTGCGAGTTGCGCCGCTATCCAGCAAAGCGCTGCAGGACGCTTGCCCAACTTGGATGCGGAAATAAAGGAGTGGTGAGTTGTTATCGTCGTACCGCTGCATGCGAAACTCGCGGGCCACCTTGGAGATATACGCAAGGAGGTCCCCACCGCAGCTTCGTCATCCATCGGCGAAGTTGGTGGTGCATAGAAGCACAAATACATGTGCAAATGGGCGCATAGTGCTGCACATTGCGGTCCCGGTAAGCGGCCCGTGGAAGGGAGAGGAAGCTATGCAAAATCCTCGGGAGAGGAAGCTATGCAAAATCCTCGGGAGAGGAAGCTATGCAAAATCCTCGGGCGACAACGGGTCCAAAACGTCCACATTGAACTCCCGTGCTGAATCCCTTGAAGAGCCACTTGAAGACGATGAACTGGCGCCACTACCAGATCGAGAGGAAACCGCACACACACCTTATCCTTGAGCTAGAGAACCCAGCGGTGGAACGAGCTGGGCAGCAAAGTCCTTCGGCATGTGCCTCAAAACTAAGGGAGGTTGCTCGCGAAGCAACCGGTTTCGAAGTCGTCGAGAGTGCAGTCGTATCACTCTCGGCGGTGTTCACTTTCCCGAATGGGATTTCCCCTTGGCCTTCCTGGGGCAGTTCGCGGTGTCGTGAACATCGCTGTTGCACCGCAAACAATATCGGTACTTGGATTGGATCTTGTAGACACCCTCCAATATGCCGTAGTGGAGCCGAGGTTCTTGAGCTGCTGTGCCGGTCCCGGGGGATGAAGAGGTGTTTGTCTTCGATTTGCCGCGTCCTCGACCTTTGGTCGGACAGCCACCATCCCGGGCAGCTGCTGACATATCTCCCTCATCTGATGAAGCAGCCTCGTTGGAATTGGTCGACGTTGTTGTTGCGATGACGGCCAGTTTTGGCTGATGCTGATCTCTGCTCGGGCCTGCGGAAGACGAACGGCCAGCATTGCGGGCGTCCGTGTTCGTCACGGTCATCTGCGAGGCCCTGTTGAGAAGTAACTCACTTTTGGTGAGCGTCTCTGCAACCTGCGTCAACGCATTTTGCAATGTCAGGCATGACCTCACAATGAAGGAGTGTTTTATTCCTGTGAAGTTGATCGGCAGGTTAGGCGTGGATGCCAAGCGTTGGAACTCGGCGATCCAATCCGTACTTGGCAAGGACTTCTGGTGGAACTTCTGCAGTTTCTCCATTGCCTCGGGCGGTTGCACTTGGAACCGCGTGTGCCATGCTGCCGTGAGATCAGGCCAGCTGATCTTCGTGTGCAGCTCAGAGACAATGACCTTCTGTGTGGACAAGATGTTGTCAAGCCATGCTTGACATGCGCCCCCCGACCGGTGATACAAACAAGCATGCCTGTTGGAGTTGCGCACATTGTACATGTCCAAACGCAAATCGAATTGCCGTCAGCATGGAATTGGATTGGTCTTCGATGCGTCGCAGAAGACCAGGATGTCGTCCAACTTGGGTGGTCGGTCAGGGGGTGGTGAAGCTGGACTTGTGGCTGCTGCACGAATCTTCTGCTCCAGTTGGTGATCGGTTGACTGGAGTTGCTGATTAGTTGCCTGCTCCTGCTGAGCACCGTCCTTGAGAGCACCCACGTCAATCTCCAGAGTGTTGACGCGATCGACAAGATTGGAGGGGCCGACCGTTAGAGTGGAAGTGGGTCGCTGTTCCAGCGACTGTATGCGACTGGTCAGCTGTACGAAAGTCTGCTGGTGGTCCCGGACCACGTGGTGGAGTGTGAAGATATCCTCCTGCTGTGCAATGCAGGTGGCCAGCAGGTCCGTGATGCGTGTGAGCAGTATTACTAGCTTGCTCCCGCAGTCGTCGGCTGCCTCTCCCTCGCCCCCCTTCCGCCAATGAGCGGCCAGCGTGTACAATGTGTGTTCCTCCTTGAATAGTCCTTCGCATTGTCGTACCCGTTCTTCATCTGCAGCCTTTGCTGCTGTTGCTTCGCCCTTCATCTTCATCG